ACCAAATTGTTTTCTGAAAGAGAACCCTTTATCTGCCAAAGTATTTTTCTCCAACTTGTATTTTAAATATCCGGGCAATGCTTAGTGCTACAATCGTGTTGTATGCTGCAGAAGGCAGAAAATCTCAGTGTGTTTGGCCCAGGGAGAGAGGCAAGTGTCTTGCTTGCTCCTGTGCAGCTGGGGTTTAAAATTGTCCTCCATGTACACTTTGTATGCACACTTGTTCTAGAAAAGCAAGCACAGGGGATTTCCAGCAAATGTTCCCACCAGCTTCAGACCTGCCCTTGGGTCTGTGGTGCTGAGAACGTGGGGTAACTGTGGACAGGTGGGTGAGAATAGCTTTGCGAGGATCAGAGTGTGTGTGTGTGGCAGGGGGAGCAATAGCATCTCTCCCATCACGTAGAAATCCTGATTCACTAAGAATCTTGGTGGCACTTCATTGCTTCTATGTCTTTTGCTGGAGGAGAGACTAGATATGGTCTGACTCCAGGCCATTTTTGTCTAAGGATTTGCTTGCTGGCAAATGCACAAGAGCCTGCCTTCCAGTGAAGGGAGAACAGATCTTCTAGAGGATGTTTGGACTAGGCAGTTGTGCAGAGGCTTTCAGTAGTTGATCCTCATTTGTCCCTGGTACAGTCAGAGGAGAGTCACTCTTGCCTTCCTTAACCAGTCATACTTTTCCAGATTAGACCCCCCCCCCCCCCCCCCAGCGCCAGAGAGTGCCTGCAAATGCAATGTGTCTGCCCAGGGAGCAGGAGAGGGCATGAGAGGAGCTGTGGAGCCCCTGGGGAGACATTCTCTGCTTAGCCATCTGATTACCCAGGCTTCTGTGTCTCTCCTGTGGATCGTACCACACCTTCCTAACTGCCCTCCTTGCCTTAATTTGGATTAGGCACAGATCCCTCCCTGACATGCAGTCCTTCGTGCCTTAAGACTCCTATGACCTAAATAAAGACAGAGCAGCTCAGCAGGTGCCTGGCTTTCCTCACCCCGTTATTTGGTTCACCTCTATGTTCAGGTCTCATTGTGACCTCACCCATTCTGAATTTCTAGTAGTTCTGTGCATGCTGTCTTTCATAAACTTTTGCAAATGCTTTTACCATGTAGAGCTTTTCTCCGCTGCTTGAACTGCCTTCTGTGCACCCTGCTGCTCTCAGTTTGTCTGGTCTTATTCTGCTGCAGTAGCCTCTGTTTACTCATTCGGGGATTTTTGGATATTTTGTGGCCTTTCTTCTTTCTTTGTATCTTCTAAGAGCAGCCAGTTGCCCTAAAATTTTGCAAGGATAATAGCTATAAGTCTTGTCTGCCAATATAAGATAAAATCAATCTTTAAAAATTGAGTCTTTCAGCCAGGCATGGTGGCACATGCCTGTAATCCCAACACGCGGAGGCTGAGGCAGGAGGATTGCTACCAGTTCAAGGCCAGCCTAAGTTACCGAACGGTCTCAAAAAAAGAAAGGTGTATGTGGGGGAAGTGTTTCAGAAGGACACCTGCTCCTAATGTGCTGCACCTTCTTCACCAGTTGTAGTCTCCAGTGCACTTGGCAAGCTGCTAAAGATCTCTTTCTTCTGCTGCTGGAGATTAATCATGTGAGTCACAGGCTAATTCAGTTAAGCCTTAATCCTTTTTAGAAATTCTCCCTCCATTAGAGAAGCAATTTAAGGGAGAAATCTTGAGACTGATTGGCACAGACAACAAGCAAAAGCTATTGTCCAGGTTCCATTCCTGAGGGGTATTTTGAAAGGGTTGACATTCAGGGTGGATAAACACCTATTGTTATCACCATGACAATAACTGACTTGTCCCAAGCTGTGTGAAAAGTCTCTTCATACCTTGTGTACTTAACACAACCCAACTGGTATCATTCTCATGACATGAAGAAAATTGAGGCTTAGGAGGTGTGATTTACTCAAAGTCACCTCGCTGAAGTTGCATTCCGGGGATAAAAATATGCAGAAGTTGGCATTGCGGGGATAAAAACATGACCTGACCTCACAGCAAATGCTTCATCAGTGTACTTGAGTGAATGAAGTAGCAGATGCCTTAGGTGGGGAACCTATGGCACTGATGCCCCAGCAAAGCCTTGTCTGTCAGCACACAAGCCCTGTTGCCCCAACAGCCAAGCATCAGTTAACAGTAACTTTTCTAAGCTAAAACCTCAGTATTCAGGTTTAATTGCAGTGTTGGCACCTTGCAGTTGCGATAAGGAAGTGTGTTTGGGTGCAGTTTAGGCACTGAGAGGTTCATCTTCATTGCAGTGACTGTGCCTGTAGAGGAGGCATGAAATGGGGCTGAGGAGCGAGCTGGTAAGGTTGAGCACTTTGTGTAGTGGAGGTGGGGCGGGACTTGCTAGCCTTGCTGCTTTTCAGAAAGGTGAATGCACAAGCAGTTCATGCAAAAAGCCTAGAAAGTGTTTTACTGTTCTGGAATCCCAAGGGAAAAAGAGGAATACACATTTCTTCCTTTGCCCTTCTACCGGTCTAGTGTTTGTAAGGGCCCTGGTGGATAATAATACTGCCGTTGTGTGACATGCACTTCCGCTTTCCCTGGATCCTGCAGATAAACCCAGGGTAGGAGGTTCAGGGATTCAGGTTATTTGGAAAATTGTTCTGACTGCTTCTAAGTGTGGTTCAGTCACCAGGGAAGTTACAGGAGCTGGGGGGGTAAAGGGGGAGTAGATCTGTCTGAGCTTCGCTAGCTGCCATTGTTCCTTGGCCTTGGCACCAGAGGGGCTCATTCGTGATTCTAAATTTCCGGTCCTTGGAAGGGGAAGGTTGCTTAATTTGGTGTTAGGCATTTGCTGAGATCGAACAGCCACCAAGACCCCTTGCCCCAGTTTGTGGGTACATACCAAGAAAAGTGGCAAGGTCAGGAGCTGGGCAGCCAGCAACCCTTGGGGTCTTCTCCTGCAGAGGTGTAAAAGGCACTGTTAGAAAATGGTTGGGGCTTTGTGTTAGGACAATTAAGTCTGGCTGGGGTAAGGATTATGAAAAAGCTGTCAAGATGATTGATAATACCTTGGTTATAGAAACACCTGTTCCATGCCTGCTATACACATGATGCCCCCCCAGTGAATATTAGCAATTTGTTGTTACAATAATAATTCCAGTATCTTTACAGTTTTCATGTGCAGTTTCTAAACTTTAACTGTTTTTTGACCTGCATGGAATCAGGCAGACTTAGCATTCCAAATCCACTCTTCACTTGCAGGACAGCCGAAGAACACAGTGTGCCTTTGGGTGCAGCCTTTGCCTTTCACCGTGCATGGTTAGAAAGCTTTGTCACGGGCTGAAGAAAGGCACTCTTGTGTGCAAGATGTTTCCTTAATGCATTTGCTATTCTCTTGGCTGCTTTTCTCATTTCCTGGTACTGCTCTTAGTCTAAGTAGTTTGTTTCTGAGTCACCCACCTGTGGCCAAGTGGCAGCGGAATATCTGGGCTCTCTGCACACACAGGCAGCATTGTGAAATAAGGGTTCCAGATTTTCTTTTGGGGGCATGGAAAGAGGATTTTGCACATTCCAGTTCTGAGGATCTGGATGGGTTACAGGCCTTGTGGAACACTTTCTCCTCAAAATAAAAGACCCTGATTCGAGCAGGGCTTGGTGGCTCAAGCCTGTAATCCCAGCACTTGGGAGGCTGAGACAGGAGCATTTCTGTGTGAGTTTGCAACCAGCCTGAGCTACGTAAGGGAGTTCAAGGCTTGTCTATACTGCATAGTTAGACTAGGAAGAAACAAAAAGAGTGGGTCTTCACAGTAGTGGGTGAGGGTGGCAGGAACAGCCGTGTGAAAGGCGCGGCAGTATCAAAGTCAGGACCATCCCTGCTAACCTAGGACACTAAGTCTTGGTGGGCGTAGACCCCTCCCCACAATGTGGTAATCACTGATAGCACACTTCGGTTGTGTCTCCCCAGAAGTGGTTGCCATCTGTCATTGTGTGTTGAAATCCACCCATCAGTGCATTCTCTCATTCATTTGTTCACTCATTCACTCATTCATTCATCCAGCCAGCACCTACTTACTGAGCTCTTATTACCTGATGGTAAGGCACTAGGTAAAAAGAAAAGATCTCAGCCTTCGTTAAGTTTATTGTAGGTACAACAGAAGAAAACAAGATAAGTCAATTAAAATGTGAATTGCCTTTGCACCTAGAGATGTGGTGCCTTGGGCCCCAGTGCCCGGCACCCTGCAGCTGGTGCTTCCTTCTCGTTTGTCCTTATTTTGTCATGATGTGTACTAGACTGCTTCCTGCCCTATTCTGTGAGCATGTGAAGCAGAGACTGAGTTAGGTTTGCTGTAATTCTCTGGCTCCCAGGTTAGTGTCCGAGAGACATGTGGAAGGTACACAATGTGGTTATAAAACCATAGTCAACCTCATAAAGAGGGTAGAAATGAAAAGTGCTGTGGCATCCAGCCATCACCAGTTTCCTGTATACCTTTCCTAGAGCTAGTCACCAGTAAATGACAAAAATAAACAAGACATGTCTTTAAATGCCTTTTTTTCCCCACCTTTTCTTTTAAGAACTTCTTTGGCTTTTTTTACAGCTCTATTATTCCATTTTAATGGTTGTACCATGACTTTTTTTTTTTTTTTTTTTTTTTTTTTGTCTTTTTCGGTACCGGGGATCGAACTCACGACTGCCTGCTTGCAAGGCAGGCGCTTATGCCGCTGAGCTAAATCCCCAGCCCTGTACCATGACTTTTTAACAAGTTCCCCAGTGCTGCTTATATTGATGTTTGTACTCTTCTGTGGTGCATGCCTTGTAGTGAATACTACAGCTATTCACAGCTGCAAGGCTTTCTGTATAGGACAGACTCCTAAAAGTAGGATTGCTGACCTGAGGATTGACACTCAGGACTGGTTTGTGAAGTTAAGGGTAGGAAAATGAGGCCCGGGAGTTGACTGCTGATCATGTGCAGCAGACAAGTTACCAGCGTCTCTGAGTGTTACACTCAAAGCTTTTATCATGTCTGATTCACTTTTTCTGTTTCTGCACCAGGCTGGAGATGGTATGTTCAACCGTGCTAAGCTTCTCAATATTGGCTTTCAAGAAGCCTTAAAGGACTATGACTACAACTGCTTTGTGTTCAGCGATGTGGACCTCATCCCAATGGACGATCATAACGCCTACAGATGTTTTCCACAGCCACGACATATTTCTGTCGCCATGGACAAGTTTGGATTTAGGTAAGAGATGTTAGCCAGAGTTTGCATGTGTTGCTACCTTCCGTGTCGCCTGGAAAATGAAGTTTCTCTGCCCTGGAGTGCCTCTGAGCTCTTTGAGGATGAAAGAAGAGATCAGAAATCCCAGTACTCTCTGCATATCCACACAAGAACCATTTTTAAATGTTTGCTGTGGCTCTCATCTTTAGACTCCAAACAATTGCGTGATTTTCTACTTTTTGCTCCTTGCTGCCCCATGTAGTTTGGAAAGCAAATTGGAAGAAATTGCTCCTCCCCCCAGTTCTTGAAGTGAGACCCCTCAGGAGATGTACATTGGCCCTTTAAGAAAGATCCAGGAATATGTGGCTCCCAGCACAGCACAGGCTTCTGCTTAAACACAGAGCCTTTCTCCACCAGTGTGCCCTTGGTCTTTGAGAGACCAATGACACCCATCCCCAGGGGAGAGGGTATAATCCAAAGTATATTGACACACAGGGAACGTGGCTTCTAGTCCACTGTTTTATCTTAGAAGTTATAAATAAGATGGGGGAGTGGCTTGGTAGCAGAGTGCTTGCTTTGCATGCATAAGGATTTGGGTTTGATCTCTAGCTTTACCCTGAAAAAAAAAAGTGAATCAGTTATTTTGCTGTTACTTATCCATGTTTCTGTTAATATAAAAAATTTATAACCTATCTGTTGAGTAACATACTCTTTCCCATCCTTTCTTTAAGTAAACCTGAAGCTCCAGGAAGCTATGCTGTGGGGTGCCCTGTGGATTATGTATCTCTGGTTTAGGCTGAGTGTCCAGAGTGTTTGGCCTGTGTAGACTGCAGGCCTGTTGTGTTGATACAGTGACTTTTTACCATTTTCTCATGGTTTTTTCCCTACTGTCTGGCGCTAAGGGCCTGAGGGCTGTGAGATAGTTAAGTTGCTGCCTTAGAAAGAGAAACCTTGGAGTATCACTTTTAACCTCTTCAGAAATCTCAGCTCTTCCCTCCCTTTCTGTGTATCTTCATGGCTTTGAAATGCACAGGTCTGCACCCTGACCCCTCCTGTCTCTCCTCTGTAGCATTTGGGAAGCCACGATGGGACCTGAGTGACCACTCAGCTCAGTTCTTTACCATTACACCTTGTTTGGTTCACAGAGAACCAGTCAGGTTTAGGAGACGGGATTGTACTTAGACCATAAAACCTAATCCTCTCAGCTTAGCATGTATTCCCACTGAAGTGACTAAGGATCTATGTCTATAAAAAGTGATTATCAGCACACTGTATTGGTCTATCCACCTCTAGTTTAAACACTAACATTCAAGGTGTAGGCGTAAGGTAATATAAAGGGTGGGCCCTAACCAGTGGCACCTAACTGCAAATGTACTGTTTTAAATCTATTGAAAGCAGGCCCCCGGGGCCCTTTGCTTGCGTATACTTGCAATCAAATTCTGATATTCTTTAAAATTATTGTCTTTAATTTCCTGTGTTCTGTGTGACTTGGCTAACTTCCCCCCCTCAAAATCTCAGCTAGAGTTTAATTTATGGTGATGGGTTTTAGTTCCTTTGGGTTCATTTCCCAGTCGACACAGAAGGCAGCAACACACGCATGCAGTGAGAGCCTAAGTGTAGTTGGAACTGCATTTGGGGTCAACGTAAGACCAAAGAAGGCATTGGACAACCCACAGGAAGATCTCTGCATGGCCTCTGGGGAACATTCGAATGCTTGACATTTCCTATCAATGCTTTCTCTGTGTCTTTTAAGAGTCCACTATTCATAACCATTAAAATATTGAGATATAAAAAGGTATGGAAGGATGAGAACCCAGATGCCTTGCTTCTTGAAAATATATAAAAAATAGACTTACCATTATATATTTTCCTAAGTCAGGATAAAGTAAAAGTTTCAAAGGAAATTTTAGATGTGTAAATTCTGAGGATTCTGCTTCAATTGTGAGGGTTAGTGTTCAAGTCAGTGCATCCTTGGATGAAAGAAAGCTAAACTGGTAGACAGGACAGGATGGAGAGGGGGGCACAATGGAGCAGGCAGGTGGGAGACTAATGCAGTGGCAGATTCAGGACCTCTGGGTGAGGCTGTCTCACAAGAGTCGGTCACGTAGGAAGCAGAAAGCTGAGCTGCAGTGGGGGAACTGGGCTTCTACCCCTTCTTGTCACTGGCATTTTCCAAATAATCACAGAAACACTGTATTCTCCGAAACAGGTGTGTGTGTGTGTGTGTGTGTGTGTGTGTGTGTGTGTGTGTATGTATTTTTAGCCCTGAGGTTGACCCAAAGGCCCTAGCACTGGGCGACGTCCCCAGCCCTTTACTTTTTTTTTTGTCTTTTTCCTTTTTATCGGTACCAGGGATCGAACTCACGACTGCCTGCTTGCAAGGCAGGCGCTTATGCCGCTGAGCTAAATCCTCAGCCCCTGCATTTTTTTTTAAAGTCTTTTGAGGTGGATCTCTAAGTCATTATATAGCTCAGGCCGGACTCACATTTATAATCCTGCCTCAGTTTCTCAGAGCCCTAGGATCACAGATGTGTACTACTTTCCCTGGACTTTGATATGTATCTTCTCTAAGATAATCTGAACCTTGATATAAAAGCAAAAACAAACAAAAAACCTCTTATAAACCCCCATCAAAGGATTCCAGAGAATGAAAGAGGTGCTATACTTTGGGGTGCTTTATTTTGGTGCTTTATTTGGGGAATGTCAAAAATTACTAACCGTGGGTCTCTGTGTCTGTTTTTTCCCCAGACTACCTTATGTGCAGTATTTTGGAGGTGTCTCTGCTTTAAGTAAACAACAGTTTCTTACCATCAATGGATTTCCTAACAATTACTGGGGCTGGGGAGGAGAAGATGACGATATTTTTAACAGGTAATAGCTACAGCTTAGAACTGCTTCTTTCCTGTCAATCCCACTGTCAGTTTTTGAATCTCTATGGATATTTACAGTGATTGATTCTCAGGAGTAACGTAGGTCCCACACAGCTCAGGATCCTGAGGTGTGTACTTCTGTAGGTTTGTAGGTGCTGAGCAGGGCTTATAGAAAAATTAACTTCTGAATTTCTGGATTAGCTTTGGAAAATGTGAAATGGAAACCAAGTGGAGGGGTGAACCTGCTTTGATTTGCCACATGCCATTTTGTACTGAAGGAGGCAATCTATGTCCTTCTTAAAAATTAAGTGTCTTACTATATTTTCCTTTCAGTGTGAAGTATTTCCTAATTTCACTCATAGAAACCTTGTCCTATATTTGTGTTTTGGAGTATTTTTATTTTACACAAAAAAAGCTAATCTAATGAACTCTTATTGACACAGTTAGTTCACAACCATCACTGCTTAGCCAGTCTTGTCCTTCCCATATCCCAGGGCTCTTTTTAACAGGTAAATTTTTATCCTCCGGGTTGTCATCACAGTGGTAAAAACTGTCTGTCAGTGGCATTTGAACCACATTCTGCTTGGTCCTACCTGGCAGTGGAACCTTCCATTCTGCCAGCTGCAGATCAGAAATACCGTCTGCCTTTGGGAGCTGGGTTGAACTGTGTTTGATGCCAAAATATATCCAGGTGCAGCCTTCCTGAGTGAGAGTGCATTTATTTGATCAAGTAACCGAACATGTCTGTCGGAGCAAAACCTGTCATTTGACATTCCCATTGTATGAGAGAACTTGACAGATCCAAGTCTTCAATATAGGCCTTGAAGAAAGCTTAATTATCAGATTATTAGACTGATTATCAAGCATTTACGTATTGAGCAAGTAGGGGAGCCTCATATTTAGCTCAGTGACCTAAGTACCTCCCTGTCAAGTGTGAGGTTGTGAGTTCGATCCCTGGTACCAGGGGGAAGAAAAGAAAGGAAAAGAAAAAGCCCATATTGAGTGTGCATCACACTCAGAACACTGTTCCCTGGACACCGGGCCCAGACAGAAACCAGCCCACTTGCACAGAGTCAGACTTCTTCGAGCACTCTGGGCTGCTATAGAGTGTATAGGACAGATTGAATTCCACAGACCTGAAGGGTCAGGGAGACTAAAGATGGAGGGTACATCAGGAACTGACACCCAAAGGCTGTGGGACTAGAAGGATTGGTGATGTGTGGCACAACCATAGTAAGCTGATTATGCACCTACTTAACTGAGTGCCAGGCATAAGATCAGCACTTGGGTGAAAGCAAGGCCAGGAACTTTGAGCTCATCCTGGATCAACCAGTGTTGCTTCTAACTTTGGTATTTGTACTGTCAAGGCTTTGATTTTGGTCCTCATTCCTTTCCCTGGACCAACACCGAATCCTCTGCCTCTGGTCTTGCTTTCTGCACTCCATTCTCAAACTGTGCACCAAAGGCACTCGCCATGGCCAGAGTCATCTGGAAAACACTGCACGTTGTCCCCCCTGACCCTGATGCTGTTGCTTAGTGTACTCTGCGAGGGCCAATTTAGCCTTGGTCTTTCCTTTCAGCTGCATCACCTGCCCTTTCCTACCTTGTAGCCTTCAGTCGGCACCTGGAAGTTTACACTGCTCCCTGAGGATGTGCCCTTGCTCTCCCCTCCGGTACCTCTGCATGCGCTGTCCTGGCAGCCACCTGTTCTTCCTCATAACTTTGCTCTGCCCTTCATCCAGCGGAGTTTCTTCCCTCTCACTCTCTGCCATCCTGACTCCCCTTCCCCTTCAGTCTGGCTCTGAAGGCAGCGTCTGAGCGTCCACACTGTAAGTTCTATGAGCACAGACAGCTCAGGGCCTGGCATGTGCTGGTCAGGGCCACAAACTGCAGAATCAGTCATAAAAAGACCTGGAGTACAAGTGTGAGTTTTAACAGATGTTGTACTGGGCTGGGTCCCAGCATGCTGCTGGAGTTGGGTGGAATAAGAACAGGGAGCAGACCAGTGGCTGGAAGAACAGCCTTGTAACCTGGCCTGTTGTACTGATGCCTGGTGGTAGCTCTGTGATAGTGACCTGTCCCTTCACTCTTTGCAGATTGGTTTTTAAAGGCATGTCTATATCTCGCCCAAATGCTGTGGTTGGGAGATGTCGCATGATCCGCCACTCAAGAGATAAGAAAAATGAACCCAATCCTCAGAGGTGAATTTGTCTGTGTTCCTCTCTTTTTTCCCTTTACGATGGGGCAGGCTGCAGGGCCCAGGCGGCAGAGGGGGTTCTGTGCTGCCGGGGAAATGGAGGTGCCCAGTCTGTGAACAGGGGCCAATGAGAAGGGTGGTGGGAAAAAGACTTTTTTTCATCATTTCCTGACGTTTCTGTTTCGATTCCTTCCCCCTGGCTTTTTGCTTGCAGGTTTTCCCGAATTGCACACACAAAGGAGACAATGCACTCTGATGGTCTGAACTCACTCACCTACCAGGTGCTGGGCATAGAGAGACACCAATTATATACTCAAATCACAGTGGACGTTGGGACACCAAGCTAGCAGTTTGATCCAAATAAAAGAGACTGAAAGTGGCCAGGGACCCTGCTGTGTGACTGTCAGGCTGCTGGGCCGGTCCCTCTCATCGTACAACCTGAGTGATAGGTCCCTTCATGCATCCCACAGAAGCCTTTCCAGATGACCAGGAGGAGTGGAATATTTTGTCTCCAGCTTGACTTGGCCAAATGTGACTTCTTAGCAGTACAAGGTGTTGGCAGTATAGAAACTGTCAGCCTGTGGGGGCTTCTTGACGTGTTCAGAATGTCACCCCAAAGCCTCTGAACTGTGCAGCTCAGAATTGGTGACTGTTGGACTCAGTCCCACTGAGGAAACTGCTGACTTGTGAAATGGGTAAGAATTTTGCTTTAAATTGGGATGTTTTTATGGCCTCATGAAAAATTGGAAATTGCTGCTAAAATTGATTGGTATGATATCTTTCGGTAGTCAAGTTTTAACAAAAAAACCCAAAGTTTCAACCAGTCTCTCATTGTGTCCCCTCCCCCCACCATCTTTCGGTGGTGTACAACTATTACAATCAGTGTGTGCTGTGTGACTTTTCAGAAAAAAGGAGTTTTAAAACTTGAGCCTTGAACCTCTGTCCTGCTTATGTATGAATCCCAGGGCAACTTTAGCCATCAGAGCAAAGGCCTTGGGTGTTCTCACAGTGCCTGTCTCCAAGTTGTCTGATTTCTGAATGTAAAGATTTTTTTTAAAAGAAGCAGCTTGTAGTATTTTAAAGAAAAAAATCAAGTTCTAATTATGGTCTATCTTGCTACTTGTGTTGATCCACATTTGCATAACTGTTTAGTGTGAAGTCATGACAATTTATTTTTCTGGGCATGTTATCTAAACTTGAATTGCCTATGTATTTTTTTATTGTGGCATTTTAAATGTGGGAGGGGATTGAACATTTTTTTAGGAGAAAACAAATAATGTATGCTGTAATGGCCACAAATGGGCCTCTTGATTTAGCTGGCAGGCCAGGTTTTATGAAGAGAAGAATCACCTTTGGATCTTTTGATGTGGTAAAGCCTTCTGGTCAGCGTTATACTGCCAGACCTGGGGGCAAAGCCCAGAGCCAGGCTCGGCCTGCTGGGTGGAACTCTCCCTCCCCACCCTCCCCAGGTAGGCAGCTCCCGGGCCTCAGCCTTGTCCACCAAGTACGCCAGGCCCAAGGCTGCTGGGTTGTAAATAAGGCAGTCAGGTTGTTTACAGCCCCCTGTTCCTCCCCAGCTGGAGGGAACTTCTGTTCAGGCAGAGACTGCTCCCCAGAGCCTCGGTGGCCACACTCCTGGCCCACCCTGCATTCCCGGGTCTTCTCCTTCCTCCCTACCTGCCTTTCTCCTTTCTTCTTTTCTTTCCCCTTTAGTTCCTTCGCCTCTTGTCTGTTCCCTAAAATTTGCCTGTGGCACTCAGGGTCCAAAAGACTATTCATTCTCCAGCAGGACTGTGCCTTTTAATTAATGATTAGAAAGTTCAGCTGCACCCACACCTCCAGCTCCTCCTGAGACCTCTGGTGCCTAAAGCCTCCCTTTCCCCCTCAGGGTTTTAGCAGGTGCTCCCCCCGACACGGGGTCCTTCACAAACCCACCTCTCCTGGGCAGGAGGCACTCCTACCACAGAATGCCTCCCCACGTCCATCCTGGGCTGAGGTCCTAAGGGTCAGCTACCTAATCCTAGGGTTGAGCCCTTTGCCAGAACCCAAGCTTACTGCCCTTCTGGGCACCAGCCCTGAGTGTAGAGGCTGAGCTGATGCCTAGGCCCTAATCCTACCTGTGCCTTTATTGCTTTGAGCATCTTGAATGCTGACTTGGTTCTTTTTCCAGAAGTCTTTGTTTTGGTAAGAAATTTCCTTCCTCTGCAGAGCAGGCAGGGCAATGCGGGTATTCCTCCCTCGGTTCCCCACGCCTTAAAATGATATTATTAAAACTTAGAATGACTGCACTGAGAGAGAGTTTTGAGAAATACAGAGGCCTTCTGTCCCTAGATCCTGACTTTTCCAAAGTGCCTTAAAAAAGGAAACAGTGCCCTGAATGGTGACTTCCTTCACTCTTGATATTCCTTTTTTGTTTGTTTGTTTCCTGTCACAGTTTCATTCATATGAGTATGTGATTCATTCTCAGAACTAAGGGAAATTCTGCTTCACCTGTCCTGTCCTCCCTCCTTGCTGACTTTCCAGTGCTCTTAGGGGGTAACCCCAGGCACAGCTGTGACATTTGCCCAGCCCAGGAAATACTGTCGGTTCAGTTTCTTCACTGGACCTTCCAGGGCTGCGAGTTCAGAAAGCCTTTACCTTCTCTTGGTAGTTACTCCCTTGAAATTGTCATGTGCTGTGCTTTTCTCTGTGTCTGTCCATCCTGTTGCCAGTGACCCCATGTCAAGTAGCCTTTGGGAAAGATCCAAGTTGGCACAGAAGAGCAAAAGAAATGCTGTACTAGCCTTTAGCCTGACCATTGTCTCCACTGAGCACTGGCCTGGGTGTGGGGTGCCTCACACAACCAGGAAACAACTTTCATGTCCTTGAGACCTGTTGAGCTATGTATTTTTATTTCTTGCATATGCAAATATGTATACTTACTGTGGGGGAGGTCAGTTTCTGACCTTGGTGTTCAGAACAGACAACTGTATTTTTGCCTGTGAAATCCAGTAATATAACATGAATAAATGATCCTATCTTTGTAACTGTGAGTGGCTTCTCTTCTGATTTTGGACTGTTTCAGAGCTGGGGCTGGGGCTGCTGGTGGGAGGGTCTGAGGAAAGCAAACATGTGCCTCTCCCTGGCCTGTCTTGCTAAGAGTTTCATGCTAAAGTAGAATTTTCTCTATTAGTTTTGGTTATATTTGCTGTTTTCAACAAATTCCAGGATAGTTCAGCACAGCTATCAGAATGCGTTTATGGTATAATTTAAGTGACATTATCCAAAGTAGGATTTCCAGGAGGGTTAACCAGGGACTCCGAAGTTGGTTAATTTTAGTTGTTAACCTAGTAACTAGCAGCCAGTAAGTATCAGCAACCTGTCCTGTGCTGCTGGGGTTGAATTGGCACTCCTGCTGAAATGGACCAGAGTGTGCCTAGCTGGCAGCCCCTGCAGTCCACATCCCGGGAGCTGTAGGCCCTGTTGTATGAAGCTCAAAAGTGACCGTTAGGAAACAGGAGCTGAGGGCGTAGCTGGCTGGGCCGCCTTTCATGGGGGCTGTGAACAGCAAACAGTACCACCCCAGAGCCATCTGGCTGTCTCTGTCCATCAGTGTGACTGCTACAGGAATCCCCGGTGAACTCAGGCCTGAGCAGGGGTGGCACCTACTCAGATGTGACCTTTAAACAAGGTACCTCTGGACCTTTGGACATAATGCTGCCTTACAGGGTCTGAAAGACCACTGTTTCTTCTTTCGCACACCAGCATTCTCAAGACTCCATTTCCAATACCACAGGTGTAGTGATTTCTCCTTCCCAGCAAGCAAGTTGGTGAGCATCAGCTGGGTATGCTATAGCATAGTGGGCCACACCTGTAACCCAGCACCTGAGAGCTGAGGAAGGCTGAGAATTCAGAGCCAGTTTGGACTACAGAGCCATTCACAGCCAACTTGAGGTTACACAGATCCCGTAGATCCTGTCTCCAAAAACTGACCAAAAACTGACCAAAACAAAAACAAAAATCCACCACCAACCAAAAACATTGTTAATAATTATGAATGACTTTGAATATGCCTTGTTCACAAAAAGTGTGTTATAAATGCATGTAGTGTTTTTTAAAAGGATTGTAGGCACTGTGTTGACATGTACGTGAATTTATATACCACACAGATATGTATACTACACGAGGGAAGGTGTCTTAGTTACTTTTTACTCGTCGCTGAGACAAAATACCTGATCCCCAAGTTGGGAAAGGAAAGATTTATTTCTTACAGTTTTTGGAGGTTTCAGACCACACTCAGTTGGCTCCCAGACAGGTGGGCATGGCTGGGCCGCCTTTCATGGGGGCTGTGAACAGCAAACAGGAACAGGCAAAGAGCAAGACACAGCTTCTACCTGCCATTACATCACATCCTGGCTCCACCCCTAAGTGGGTGTGGCACTAACCATCAATCCAAGCACTATAAATGAATGAATAACAAATGTACAATTCAAACTCATGAGGCCTGGGGGGACACAGACATAAACCATGACAGAGGGGGACCTTTTTCCTCTCCTCAGATGCATGTCTAACTTTGCTATGGGAGTTTGGTGGGTGAACATCAGAGTGACTGTCCTGGAGACACCCAGGACCTCCCTAGTAATGATTTCCCCTACTCCACCGGAGTGAAGGTGTTTGGGATGGTAGCCTTGAGTGGACAGAGGTGCACACACACAGTCATGGGCTCCAATGGACAAGGAAGGGGAGTACAGGAAGGAAAGAGGCCATGGACAGTCTCTTAGAGAAATGCTGTCTGACTTCTACTCCACATGGGACCCAGAACTAAGTCTGAGCCAGGCAGAGCTCAGTGACCATGAGAGTGGACTTGATGGGCACCCACTTCCATGGGTGAATATGAACTGGGTGACAAATCACTGACATATGAGTACTTTCTGGAGGCAAGGCTGTGGTGCCCAGGAAGGTAGGTATCTGTAAGACGTGTAAAGTGCGGCTTCCCTTGCAAAGAGAATCTGCTGCTCTGGACTGAGGCAAGCTGTCCACGGGGAGGGTGAGGGAGAGAGCAGGAAATGAGATGACCATAGTTCTTGTTTCAATTTTTAGCACATACCCAGGCTCCCGTCCTCTTGGCTCTTCTAGGAAGGAGGCGTTCAGACATTCCTAGTGGGTAGGTTCTTAAGAGTTGGAATGGTTCTTAGTCAGAAAGGAAATGAGGTCCATCTGGCTGAGCAGGGCATGCAGATAAGCCTCGTTTCCTTCTCTGGAAGAATCTCAGGCAGGGAACATGGTGGCTGCTGCCTTTTCTGGGCTGCAGGACCTTGTCTGGGATGAGAGGATGGTGTGAGGAATCTGTGGAGCGTGGTTGCTAGGGGGTGATAAGGTTAACAGACTGAAAATCAAAGGAATGTCGAATTCCGCCCTTCAGCGAGACACATGCGGGGACCATCATGGCGTGTATTTCAGTCCTGCTTGCTCTGATGACTCTTGACAAGTTATTTTCCCTCTGTGGGCCTCAGTTTGTTCTTTTATTCTATGAATTGCTTTCAGAATCTGCCCTTGGACTCTGCATTGTTCTGCCCTTTCCCCTACTAGCAAGTACTAGGTCTTGGGTTTTCCTCTTGACCCCTAGGCTAAACTTTCCTGTGATCTGAAGGTGGTCACGTATCTCTGGGTCTCCATTTGTAAAATAGCAGGACGGGCCCTGCAAGCTCCTTCTTTCCTTCCCAGGGCTTCCCTGGGTACCAAAGGGTGAACAATCAGTTCCACCTGACAAAGGAGGCTGGATGGTGCTGATGCCCTCACCCTCTTCCATTGGAAGGACTTTCCCCGCCGGCTGACTGCTGCCCGTTGGAGGCACATCTTTGTCTCCATTCTTTTTCCTTTCACCTGTTCTCCCTTGGGTTAAAACTGAGACTTGTTGATCTTCCCCCAAGCTCAAGGGGCTCCAGAACACCCAGGAGACCTGGAGAAGCAGAAGGATGAGGGTGGCCGAGTCTCTGCTCAGTTCCTGGGAGAAGGAGGTAGGATTAAGGATGGTGTTGGAGTCACATCCATATGCAAGGCCTTTTCAGATGGACCATCCGCCCTACTTCAAAAGGATTTGGATTTTCTCAACTTTAAGAAGCCCTCGCCTCAAGGGGAGGAAAACAAGACTCCCAATAGAAATACAGAATTAAAAACAAAGGTATATTTCCATCAAGATGGCTATTATTAACAGAACTACTTGTTGGCAAAGATGTGCCTAAATTGGAATCCTGTGCTGGTGGGGATGTGAACTGGTACACTGCCCCTGGAAAATGGCATGAAAAATTAAACAATTACCATATGATCCAACAGTTCTAGATATATGCCCTCAAACAAAAGCAGGACCTGAACAGATCATTGTAGTAGCCTTGTTCACAATAGCTGCAAGAGAACATACCAAGGGTCTTATCAATGGATGGTTGTTCAGGACATTATGCTAAGCAAAGAAAGTCACAAAGAGATTTTTAAAAAAGACTGTAGGATGCTGTACATGAGTTACCTAGAGTAGTCAAACTCATAGAAAATAGAATGGTAGTAGCCAGGGGCTGGGGAAGAGGAGAACAGGGGTCTAGTGTTACACGAGTGCAAGGTTCTAGTTAGGGGAGATGAGGGTGGTACTGGTAGGTCAACAAGATGAATTACTCAATGGCATTGAACTATATCTTAAAAATGGTTAAAATGATAACTTTTATGCTACATATACATTTTATCACAATTTTAAAAAATCAAATAAACGCTCCCTGTGGTCAAGGCTTGTTGTTATCTGTTCTAATCCGGAGGTAGCAGAGATCGGCAGTTAGTCTGAGACTACCAAGAGATTTAAGGGAGGAGGGCTGGCTGTTTGAGACATACCATCTGACAACTCATCAACAGGGACTCATCCTGGTTGCTGAATCCAGCTAACACTGCCAGGGATGGCTTTTCAGTTACTATATTTTCCCAAGACAAAAGGCCTCTCCTAGGAAGACTGGGCTATGGTGAAGATATGACGTAGGCACAAATACCCCTTAGGCCCTTGTGGGACCTAAGAAGAAGAAACCTGCACTCAAGTAGGACCTTAGTAGAGCAAGATGTCACTTATTCCCAAGATGGTTCGCATTTATTGTTGGTAGAAACTAAGGATTGGGCTGGAGACTATTGAAAGGAAGAAATGATCAAGCTGGGCACAAATTATACCCGGGAGTGAAAACGGAGAGTCAAACTGTGTGAAGATGGAGAGGAGGGCTCCCTGGTATCGGCAGGGACAGCCTAGGTCTGCGTCAGGCCCTGTAGGGTGGACAGGACACCCTACATACATGGCACCATGACTTGGAGTTGGTAAGGGTGTGGCCACATTGTAAACCTTTCTGAGAAGAGATTGCAGAGGGTTAAATCTTAAAAGTGGATCTTTGCTCAGCTCCCACTTAGCTTCTAGGAATTTAGTCTAAGAAAACAATCTATTCCCTGCCTTCATATGAATAGGCAGCAGCACTTACCCTGGTGCTGCCCATAACCCTGAAAAAATGAGAAGCCACCATTAACAGGAGGCTGTGCTAAGTAACATGAGCTACATTCAAACAAGTACTATGCAACCACTGAGGGGAAGTGGATCTACATTTATTGATTGGAAAGAGGTATAAGGGAAAAAGTAATCTATGGAATGAAATTTTCATACATGGCAGGGAAATTGATGAATAATTTAGTATAGGCATTATAATTATTTTAGAAGCAAGTCCATGAATGAAAATATGAGAATGATCTTTCATTTCTCTGCACAGTCTGGAGTGTAGTTTTTGCTGTGCTGCCCTGCAGTGAAACCCTGAAACACAACTTTCAGGGTTTCAGCAGCTGCCTGAGGGCTGAGGCCTTGATAGAGAGTATTGGGCTCTTTGGAAGAACCAGTGGAGGGGCTGAGGATATGGCTCAGCAGGACTCAAAGCTTGGGTTTGATCCCCATCAGAGAGAGACAGAGAGAGAGAGACCTGGGTTGCTCCCGAGGACTTCCTCCCATGAGGCAATGGTGGTGGAGGAAGCTGAACAGGAGTTC